ATCGAAAAACCCCGTAAAATGAGATTACTTCTCTTGAAAGACAAATGCATCTTTGAAGTGCCTTTCAAATATCTGAATATCCACTTCACTCCTTTCCAATGCTCCTTTCGGGATTTGATAGAAATCTGCTCACAACTCCCACTTGCATGTGCTATGTCCAGTCCAGTGCAAACCATAGCATACATCAAGCTTCCTACTGCAGATGCATATGGCACTTTAGACATGTGACTTTCTTCTTCTTCTGTTTGAGAAGATTGCCTCTTTGAAAACTTTAAGTGAGTTCCCAAAGGTGTATTCCTGGTTTTAGCATTCCCAACATTGAATCTGCTAAGCAATTTTTCTATATATTTTTCTTGAGATAAGTTCAAAATACCTTTATCTCTATCTCGGGAGATTCTCATACCAAGAATTTGCTTGGCTGGACCAAGATCCTTCATTTCAAAGCTCTCGACAATTGTTTCTTCAACTTGTCAATTTCGCCATATTAGCTCCAACAATCAACATGTCGTCAACATATAAGGCAAGAATGATATAGCTATCAACATATTTCTTCACATAACAACGATGATCTTCTTCACATCTGCGAAATCCTGAGTTTCTCATAAACTCATTAAACTTCTTGTACCATTGTCTCGGCGCTTGTTTTAATCCGTACAAACTTTTATGAAGCTTGCATACAAGATTTTCTCCGCCTTGTACTTCAAAACCTTTTGGCTGTGTCATAAAAATTTCCTCTTCAAGATCCCCATGTAAGAATGCAGTTTTGACATCTAACTGCTCCAAATGAAGATTTTCTGCAGCTACTATACTCAAGATAACTCTGATGGTAGTCATCTTGACAACAGGAGAGAAAATTTCTGTGAAGTCAATTCCTTGTCTTTGTTGGAACCCTTTCACTACGAGTCTAGCCTTATATCTTTTGCGCCATCCGGTTCTTCTTTCAACCTATAGACCCACCTGTTTTGCAAAACTTTCTTTCCTTCTCGGTAGCTTGGTTAAAGACCATGTTTTATTCTTCGAAGGGACTTTATCTCATCTTCCATTGCTAGCTCCCACTTAATAGATTCATCTCCCTGCATAGCCTCGACAAAATGCTCCGGCTCACCAACGATCGATCAACAACAAATAATGCAATGAAGGGGAATACCTTTGTGGTGCTACAATTGTTCTGCTAGATCTTCTAACCAAGATTTCGGGAGTTGCGACTCTACTATTTGTTCAGCTTTTGTCTCGAGCTCGACATAGGCTCTACTTGTATATTCTGCCTTCGGTTGACTACATCACTTTCTGAAATTTCTTCTAATGATACTTGCTCTAGTCTGTTTATTTACATTTGCAGATTCTGCAATCTCGTCTCTATAGAACATGTTTTCATTAAAAGTAACATTTCTACTTCGATAATTTTCTTGTTTTGGTCATCCCAAAACCCGTAGCCAAACATGTCAGATCCATAACCAATGAAATAACAACGTTTTGCCTTAGGGTCCAATTTATCTCTACTATTAGAGTCTAACATAACATATGAAGCACAACCAAAAACTTTCGGATGTGAAAGATTTACCTCTTTTCCGCACCATACTTCTTCGTGTAACTTATAGTCTAAAGGAACCGATGGTCCTCTCGTTTATGAGATAGGCCGCTGTGCTTATTGCATCCGCCCAAAATACCTTGGGTAATCCTGACTGGATTCTCATACATCTTGCTCTCTCATTCAAGGTTCTGTTCATTCTTTCCGCCACACCGTTTTGTTACGGTGTTCCTGGAACTGTCTTGATCATTCCGATCCCATTCTCTCGAACAAAACTCCTTGAATTGACTACCTGTCATATTCTCCACCATTATCGGACTTCAAACATTTGACCTTTAAACCTCGTTTGAGTCTCAACCTCCTTTTTCCACCTTTTAAACACGGAAAACACATCGATTTATTTTTAAGAAAATAAACCCATACCTTTCTTGTAGAGTCATCAATGAAGGTTACATAATATTGTGAACCTCCAAGGGATTTCACCGAAGCCGGCCCCCAAACATCTCGTATGCACTAGTTCTAGTCTTTCAACTTTAGACGACTTACTTGTTTTGGAGAAGCTAACCTTTTTCTCGCTTTCCAAAGATACAATGTTCGCAAGGTCCAACGTCAACATGTTTCACGTTAGGTATTTTACCTTTTGATATCATGAGCTTCATTCCTTTCTCACTCATATGCCCAAGTCTCCGATGCCATAAGGAGGAATTGTTGCCAACTTCTGCAACTCGATATCATATCCTCATCTCGCAATCATGTAGAGAGATCCTTGCTTCTTTCCACGAGCAACAACAAGATTACCTTTCATTACCTTCCAATGTCCATCTCCAAAAGTGGTGTAATGTCCCTCATCATCCAACTGCCCTATAGATATTAAGTTTCTCTTTAGGGTTGGAATATGTCTGACATTATTCAAAGTCCACACGTTTCCATTAGAGGTTCTGATGTTAATATCACCTCTTCCTATGATATCAAGAGATTTTCCATCTGCAAGGTAGACCTTCCCAAACTTTCCAGAAACATAGTTAGATAATAGTTCTAAGGAAGGTGTAGTATGAAATGACGCACCTGAGTCCATAATCCATGAGTCAATAGAATTATCTAAACTACATAACGAGTGCATCTTCAACTTCATCAGTTCGTCGCATTTGTCGATTGATCATCATCTTGCTTCTTGTTGTTGTTGTTGTCCTTCTTTGGAGCCCTACACTGATTTGAAAAGTGGCCCTTTTTCCGACAATTCCAACAAGTGATATCATTCTGGACTTTTGCTTGTGATTTCCCTCCGGATTTTGATCTCGCCTCGGCCTTGATTACGACCTTTCTGGCGACTTCTTCCTCTAGTTTCAGCACTCAATGCTCGAACCTGAATTAGAACCGAAAGATTCTATCGAATTTTTTCTGCGAACATCTTCGCTTAAGATCAAGTCACTGGATGTTATCAAGCTTCAACTTGTTATTGCTTGCGAATTACTAACTGCATGAATGAGTTGCACCCCAACTTTCCGTAGAGATGATAATAAAATTAATGCTTTCACCTCATCATCAAATATTATCTCGCATCGATGTCAATCGCGCAATAATTGCATTAAATTCACTAATATGATTAGTAACCGAGTTACCTTCACCCATTTTGAGGTTGACTAGCCTGCGAATCAAATGCACTTTATTGGTCGCAGAGGGCTTCTCATACATATTTGACAACGCCTGCATCAAATATACGGTTGTCTTCTCGTTCATGATGTTGAACGCAACATTCTTAGCTAATGTCACCGGATCACACCAAGCGTCTGCCGATCTAACAACTCCCATTCCGATCGCTCCATGTCGGTTGGCTTCGTCCCGTCAAGGGTAGATACAACTTCTTCCGATACGTGATAATCTTCCATCTCGCATCTTCCGAACCCGAAGTCACCGCCATCGAACTTCTCGATCCTCACCTTTCCTTCTTCTAATGCCATTGCTCTCACTGCTTTCGAAGAAAGCTCCCACTGCTTCTCTAAACCGAGATTCCCAAGAAAAAGACCAAATCTTTTCTCGATGTGGAAGATCAGACAAAGCCGCAACCACAGAGCATACTAAGAAAATTGTCTCTTGATACCAATTGTTAGGAACAAGACAATAATAAAGGAAAGAATAAAGGAGAGAAAAATAAACGACACAAGAATTTTAACGTGGTTCGGCTAAAATATGTATGCCTACGTCCACGACTACACTAGGAAGTATTTTTATTTCTGTGTATATCTCAAACTTTACATAGGGTTGCTTATATAACAAAATAGAGAATCTCATCTCACAATCCTAATCGATGTGGGACTAAATCAAGCACCATAATACTAACACGAACCACGTTAAAATTCTTGTGTCGTTTATTTTTCTCTCCTTTATTCTTTCCTTTATTATTGTCTTGTTCCTAACAAGTATGTGATTAGATTTTGCTTGATGTTGTGATGCACATTATATTCTTTTTATGCATATTAGGACGGAACATGAACTCATTGAGGAAATTGTCAAAGATGTTATACAAAAACTGAATCATATGTATCCCACTGAAGTAAAAGAAACACTTGTTGGGATTGATCAAAATCTTGCTCCCGTTGAATCATTATTGAGAATAAAGTCAAAAGAAGTTCGCATAATTGGAATTTGGGGCATGGGTGGATTAGGTAAGACAACCATTGCCAGGACTTTATTTGCCAAATTATCATCCCAATTCGAAGCTAGTTGCTTCTTGGCAAATGTGATGGAAGAATATGAAAAGCAAGGACTGGATTGTTTACTTAATAAACTTCTATCTGAGATATTAGAGGAAGAGAATCTCCATACAAGCACCTCCAGAGTAAGATCTATGTTTGTTATGAGAAGGCTTAGACAAAAAAAAGTTTTGATAGTGCTTGATGATGTGGACGATCCAAAGAAACTAGAATATCTTGCTGCACAACATGATTGCTTGGGATCTGGTAGTAGAGTTATTGTCACTACCAGAGACAAGCATGTCCTTAGCAACGGGGTAGATGCAATCTATGAGGTGAAGGGATTGTCCCTTCATCATGCTGTTAGGCTTTTTAGTTTATATGCCTTCGGGAAAACCTATCCTGAAAGGGGCTTTGAAATGCTATCTAAACAGGCGGTTGATCATGCAAATGGAAATCCATTGGCTTTAAAAGTTTTAGGTTCAGCTCTCCATTCCAGAAATGAGCAGCAATGGGACGACGCTCTGAAAAAATTCTTCAAGGTTCCTAATTCGGAAATTCAAAATGTCTTGAGATGGAGTTATGATGGATTAGATTATGAGCAAAAAAATATGTTCCTGGACATTGCATGCTTTTTCCAAGGAGAGAATGCTGAAAAAGTTATAAAGCTACTAAATATTTGTGGTTTCTATGTATATATTGGTTTAGAAATCCTTCTAGAAAAAGGTCTTATAACTTTTTCTGATGACGGTAAAGTGGGTATACATGAGTTGATACAAGAAATGGGTTGGGAAATTGTTCATCAGGAATCTACCAAAGATGCTGGAAGGCGCAGCAGATTGTGGGATCCTAAAGAAGTCTGTGATGTATTGAAAAATAACAGGGTAAGAAAGATATACTGACTTCCCTTTTTAAAAATGCTGGAAATCTGATTAACGTGTTACTTTTTATTACCTAACATTGTAAATTTTGCTTTTCAGGGAACTGAAGCAGTTGAAGGCATAATCTTAGATGTGTCTCAAATAAATGTCTTGCCGCTGAGCTATGAGACTTTTTCAAGGATGGTTAATATGAGATTTCTCAAATTCTATATGGGGAAGGGTAGGAAATGCAATTTGCACCTTCCTTCAGGTCTCGAATCAGTTCCTAATAAATTAGTGTACCTTCAATGGGATGGATACCCTTCCAAGTCTTTGCCATCAACTTTTTGTCCTGACAACCTTGTTGTGCTTTCCATGATGGAAAGCCATGTTGAGAAACTTTGGGATGGAATCAAGGTAATTTCTTTCATTTTACAACAGGTCAAATGGATGATTGTCTATTAAAGCCTTTTTTTTTTCATTCTTTGTTGCTGCAGAGTCTTGCATGCTTGAAAGAGATCAACCTCCATGCCAGCAAAAACTTAATTAAACTCCCAGATTTATCTCAGGCACCAAATCTTGAAACTATAGATGTTTCTTATTGTACAAGTCTGCTTCATGTTCCCTTATCCATACAATGTGTCAAGAAGCTTCTTGTGTTTAACTTGGAATCCTGTAAGAGTCTCAAGAGTCTTCCAAGAAACATTCACTTGTCTTCTCTTGAAATGTTCATTCTCAGACGCTGTTCTAGTCTTGATGAATTTTCAGTAACTTCAAAGAACATGACACGCCTAGACTTGAGAGAAACAGCAATAACAGATTTCCCAGAATCTTTTTGGCAGCATCTGAACATGCTTGTTTACTTGAATCTGGAATCCTGCAACAAGCTCAAGAGTCTTATAAGCAATATTCACTTAAAATCTCTTCAAAGACTCAATCTGAGGGATTGTTCAATTCTTGAAGTGTTTTCTGTGACTTCAGAGAACATGGAATACTTGAATTTGAGAGGGACATCAATAAAAGAATTACCAATATCCGTTTGGCGCAATAACAAGCTTTTTACTTTGGTTCTTCATTCCTGTAAAAAACTACTGAATTTTCCTGAAAGACCAAAACTTGAGGATTTTCCTCTCATATCCTCCTCTGAAAGGCCAAATATGGATGAACGATGGACTTTGTCATCCTTGGCAGATTTATCACTGAAAGGAAGCAGTGTTGAGAATTTACCTGCAAGCATCAAAGATCTTCCTAGTCTGAAAAAACTTACCTTGACAGAGTGCAAACAGCTTCGGTCCTTACCAAGCCTTCCACCATCCTTGGAAGACTTATCCTTAGATGAAAGTAACATTGAGTGTTTACCTGTAAGTATCAAAGATCTTTCTCATTTGAGAAAACTTACCCTAATTAATCACAAGAAGCTTTTGTCTCCACAGGATCTTCCTCCATCTTTGAAAACTCCATTACTGAATGAAAGTAAAGTCGATCCACATCTTGTGAGCATGAAAGGTCTTTCTCAACTACAGAAGTTTCCTCAGGTTAAGGGGAAAAAGTTTCATTCTCTACCAGAGCTTCCACCATTCTTGGAAGAATTTTCACTAAGTGAGAGCAATATTGAGTGCATACCTGAAAGCATTAAAAATCTTTCACAACTGAGAAAACTAGCCTTAACAAAGTGCTCGAGGCTTCGGTATTTACCAGAGCTTCCACCAACTTTGGAAGATTTGTTTCTATGTGGATGTGATATTGAAAGCTTGCCAATAAGCATCAAAGATCTCGTTCATTTGCGAAAGATCACCTTAATTGAGTGCAAGAAGCTTAAAGCTCTACCAGAGCTCCCACAATACCTGCAATCGTTTTGTGCAGCTGACTGCAGATCACTTGAGATTGTTCAAAGTTCAAAGAATGTTTTAATAGAAGATAGATATGCATTCTATTGCAATTGCATAAACTTGGACCAAAAGTCACGCAACAATATCATTGCAGATGCACCCTTTGAGGAAGCTTTTATTTCTTTGCAAGAAAGGACACCTCTTGGTCCTCTTATTTCTATTTGCTTGCCAGGAAGTGAAATCCCAGACTGGTTCAGCTACCAATCAACAAATTCTTCACTGGACATGGAAATTCCTGTAGAGTGGTTCCTCGATTCAATGTTCTTAGGTTTTGCTCTGTGCCTTGTAATTGGTTGTTTCAAAAAGAACAGTTACGAAGGGTATGATCCAGATATCAATTGTTATCACTTTGTGAAATCTGCCTCTGACTCTGGCCCCAGTGTTCCATTTCTTGGCCATTGCACAACTGTAATGCAAGTTCCAAGAGGTTTTAATTCAGAACATATATTTATATGCTACTATCCTTCTTTTAATGCCTCCATACTGCAAGATTTCAAGGATTTAAGCTTGTACTATGATGCCGATAACTTAAGGCTCAGGGTCATCTTTAAATTCAAGGGTCCTTCTCAACGGTTGGACATTGTAAAGAAGTGTGGGGTCAGACCTCTGTTGATTGCTAATACTGAAAGGCTTCACATAGATAGTGAACTGCAACCTGAATAGAAGGGAGCATGAAAGTGAAACTGGGATTTTGAAGAAACATGTCGCCTGCGAAGAGAAGAACCACGAGTGCAACCTGAAGCAAAGCAAATGATTTGTATCCAGTGGTCGCCGAGAAAGAGAGTACATCTTCAACCTTAGGTACGTAGCTCTAAACCTTCTCCCAACCTTATTTTTCATGCATCCATTAGTAATGTGAAGTTTCCATCTGACTAAGCAACTCCTGATCTTACTGAGGGAAGAAAAAATAAATAAAAATACCTACTGAAACTTTTCCCTATAGTTATCATCATTCATAATGAGTCTCAAGTGAAATAAATGATGATGGCCTGATGACATCATTATCATAAAATAAAAAACTGTCCTTTGACGAGTTTGAGGTCCAAAATAGTTAGTCTTATACGCATCAATGTCGTCAGATATTTTGGCGTTTCTAATGAGGCAAAAACCTTTTCAATTTCCTTTCAAAAGAAAGGATGGAATCTTCGGTGGGATCCATGTTACAGCAAGCAATCCGACATTTTGAAAATATGAAGGAGATGAAAAATTGCTGAACTCATATTCATTGTTTTGGCGCAAATGAACCTATGATGAAATTCTAACTTCAAGACAACACAATGATTTCAAGTAACATTAACCATTACGTTGGTAATGACTGGACAGTGTCTGATAACGCTGATTGGACAACTTCATTATTAAACAATTTTATTGTAGTGTCGCTTATAAAATTTGCTCATTCTCATTTTCAAGAGAACCCACGTGAAATAACCAAAGAAAGTTTTTCTTCAAACGAGTAATTTTACTTTGTTTCTAACTAGAAAGCTGAAGATATTTCCAATATCTTGAATAGAGTAATGCACAATATCCACGGAAGAAATTAACAACTTATAACAAAAAAATAGAAGAAATTATATATAACATCCTGTTTCTGCACAGACTAATATAAAATCAGATATTCATTCATTGCAATTACTCCAAAATCATGCAGTGATGAACAATGCCTGTATGCTATATTGTTAGTTAAAATTATAACAAAATACATGATAATTATGTAATGCTAGTTTTGCTTTACAAAAAATTTCTGTATATCTTAGCTATCTTTTAGAGGTGGACTTCAACCCAATGTTTCACAAACATACAATAAAATTGTACAACTGCATGGACAATACCCTGCCGATGTTTTCTGGATTGCAATCAGAATAGAATCTCGAGACAAAATTGGTCGAAGTTGACATTCATAGTAATTCCAAGCATCGGATACATGCATGATTCAAAAGCCTAGACACAAGGCTATCTGGTTCAGGGATGAGAGAAATTGTCAAGCTGTTCCAAAAATGGAATGTCAATGACTGGAGCAGGATATTTTCAAGCAGCACATTCTGTTGAGCTTTATCAGTCTCTGTTGTCGGTGCAATAAAGTATCTGTTTACAGTTTAATTCGGGCAAGGTACGCAAGCACAAAAAAGGTAAACAAAAAACCAAGGCAATATTAGTCTCCAAATTAGACTCCAGCAATAAACCCAGCGAGTTTAAAATGTAACAAATGTACTCAGTATTCCTAATCAATGAGGCGAATGTCAATTACCTTGTTATGTTCTGAGAACTAACAGGGAAGAAAATATAAGAGGGTTCTACTTTCAACTTCAAGCGCTTGACGGATTTATTCTCCTCTACCAAATATTTTTGTGCAACCCTCGTCAGAAGATCAGCACCATTCCCTCTCAAACTGGTATCATCATACGTCGTATAGAACTCTTCCAAGCACTCCTTTATGAATAAACTGCAAAACCAACAGTCAATCTCAAAGTACGTCCAACACTAAATTAATTGCATTTGCGCCTATCTATCACTTTCATTAAAAATGATTACAAAACGAAATGGAAACATGCATTTCAATCAGAATAGCCAAACGATAATCTAAAATTTAGTCATGATATTTCAAATGTATGCATATTTGCAATGAAATTTGTGGTGGTATCTAAAAGTTCAAGGTATCTCTAATTAAGATTCCAAACTCAGATTTGTATCTTTCATTCAACCCCGTATTTATGCTAATAAACAGAATTCTACTTTAGGGAGCTAGTTAAAGGGGTTTAAATGAAGTAGACCACCAACAGCACGAACTTCCAGCCATGGTTGATAGGAATCAGTGGAATGCCCAATTGAGCATTTTGAGAGCCAGCAATGAAGTTAAGACTCGGTCGGCAACAAGATCACCTAGTTAGATAAATAAGCATATAGAGGACATTACGGACATTGTACTTTGTGTGAATCAACCAAGCAAGTGCATGGTTGTAAAAGGGAAAACCCTTTGTGAAGTGGAAACCCATAGGGGATTGTTCAGCTCATTTTCAGTAAAATAATACTTTTTTGTTCTCCATTTCATCCAGGATTCCTAATCTTTTGGTTCCCATGCTTATGCACTAGAGAAGACACAAGTGTTGGAATCACAAAAAGAGGACACTCAAAATAAAAGGGCCATAGACAAAAGATAAAGTTGTGCTTCTCCATATAACAGTTATAGTGGCAACAACAAAATTGAATTAGATAGATGTTCACATGTTATGATTTCTCATGCTTAAGCATAATTGTCACATTCTCAATAAATTCTCCAAAAGAATATAAAACAAATAGACACCAACTTAAACACAAAAAGATATTAAGATATTATGGAAAGGGTATCCAACTTCAACCAACTCTTATCCCATTGAGTGGGTTTGGCTACATGATCAATCTGTCACCATTGGTTTGTACAAGAGAACGACACATCTCTGGAATTAACATAGTCAGTCCATGACAGAATAGAATTAGGACAGTCATGACCCTCCCATTAATAGCTTCCTTGAAAATCATGTTTAGAAAAATGAAAATATTCTTGAAATATAGAGGGCATGGGAAAAATACCTGTGCCTTTGAAAAGCCATCACAGCACCATTCAAAACACTTCCAGCACCACCATCCTCCATACCAACACAATTATTAAGAAAAGAAATTGGCTTCAGAACTATGATATCTGAGTCTAAATAAATCCCTCCATACCTGATAAAACACAAAAAAAAAAATGTCATTGCCATGATCAATCCTCCACTTATTTCCCATCAAAAAACATCCAAAACAATCAACTCACAGCCTACTCCACTATATATACTCACCAAAACTGAACTAAACACATCAGCATGTCGAATATTTTCACCAAATTATTATACAAATATAAGCATATAGCTAAGTAATCAAAACCTACTAGCCAAGACAACCATGAAAACTTACTTGTACAGAGCAGCTAGGCGGATAAGCTCACTGTAATGAGTGGAATAGAACTCTGTCTTCTTCCATTCAAACCACACAGAAGCAAAAATATGAGCTGGCGTATCCTTCAGCAACTCGTCGAGATTTGGCATGGCAACAGCAACCTTGTAACTGCTAAGAGCAAGTCTTAAAAATTCAAAAACAAAGTAACTTGCACGGCAACTAAGCAAAAGCTAAACCAATATAGGCGAAAATTACCCATCCTTAACAAAGCTATCTTTGAAGAAATCAAGCTCAACTGTCTCAGAGAACACAACAACACAAGCAGCAGGGTGATGAAAGAGCAAACTCTCAAGGCCACGCTGATGCCGAACAGTGTACATCCAAGGCGGTGAATTCCACACCATAAATACCCTGGTAACACATTTTCCCACCCTGAAAAACGCATCCATGAAGTCATTGAATGGCAATCGCAACGGCAATCCGGGATAGTACCCCCAAGTATCCCCATCCGCATATATATGATTCTTCATAGACTGCGCCCTAGCACTAATGACAGTAGCATCTTTCTGAATATTTGATTCACCACCATTGGTAACTGAATCCATAACATCCTGAATAATCTCATGATCATTATTATTGTTGTTGATGGTGTTATAATTCAAAGTTCTGCGTTCTGTGCCTACTTTCTTGACTGGGGTGGGTAGTACATTAATGTTAAGAGGAACCTTCTTGGTACCAGGGAACGGGACTTTCTTGCACTCGTGAATCCACCACTTTTGCACATTGCGATCGCCCCTGGTGAGTCCGGTGGCTCCGACAGCGTCGGGATCCTGAAGCAAGGGGTTGCTCAGGGGGTTCAACACATCTAAGTTGGATCTGAACATTCTATCTTTCCTGAGAAAGACGCTTTTCTTATCGAACCAGTCGCCCCAGCCATCCCTGAGAGGAGAGTTTTTCAGGAGGAGCGCATCCTCGACTGTGGTGACGCGGGCGGCCAAGGTCTTGATGGCGTCGTCGACGGGGACATCGTCAGAGGCGAAGGCGGCCTTGGAAGGGTCGTGGTCGGGGGATCGAAGGGGGAACTTGTTGTCAGTGTGCGATTGGCGGAGGGAGGGAGGAGAGAGGAAGGAGCGGCGAATGGAGGCGGTGAGGGGATCGAAGTAGTAATAGGGGGACGGGTTGAGGCGCAGGACCGGGGGCTCTAAGGTTTCGTCCACGAAGTCAACCTCATCGATGGGGTCATCCGAGAGGTCGGCGGAGTGGGAGAGGAGGGAGGGGCGGGAGAGGTGGTTGGAGTGATGGGAGCGGGAGAGGCGGGAGTAGAGGAGGGAGACGGAGAGGAGTAGGAGCACCGCAGAGACAACGGCGCACAGGTAGGCGCCGTACGGGGAGCGCCGTCGAGATCGCAGCATTTGACTAAACTACATTCTGATTTGACTCTAGTCTACTCTACATATCTCTCTTCCCCAAGTCTTGTATACGCAGACCAGAAATTGATTACTTGTGCAGTGGTACGCCAATTCCTCCAACCACATTTTGTTCCCCGCTGGATTTTTCACTGGTACTCATAAGCATTCAGTTCGTAGTTTTCAATTTCTTCCCGTTATTAAATGTTAATTTAATTTTTCCAAAATAAATTAATATTATTCATTTTCACCAAAGTCATTCAGATATTTAATAGAAAATATAATATACTGTAATAACATTTATTTCATCATATATAATTTGAACCAGGACTTAAATATTACATATATTATTGACATATTATATTTATTTCAACGCAATATATCATTAACATAATATATTAATTTCAACTTAATACTACATTTGATACATATTAATATTACATCAATAACCATACTTATATTATATTCTTCTATTTCATAATGTAATTATAATAAAAAAATAATATTGACTCATTAAAGACACTAAAAGAGTAGTAAGCCACAATTGAAAGGAAGTTAAAAAAATCAATAAAATGAAAATATTATTTGACCCTTTTTATTCATTTACAACACGTAAAGAACTAACAAGTAGTTGATTCCATAAAGAATCCATTTGCGGAAATCTACTTGCCAAGTTTCATCAATGTAATTTTTTCTTCAATTTTTGTTTATGAAAGAAATATCTTTTAATTATTTATTTATTACACCCGTTATATATTTTCATTTATAATTGTATTAAACTATTCAATCCTTTACAAAATAAAATATAATTTTATTAGTTGGTTAAGATTAAATTATTATAACTTTGTTAAAAATATAAATTAGGAAGTAAGCAGTAGCAGAATAAAGAAAATAAAAACTAAAAGTAAAGTAGATATAAATTTTTTTATCAACTCTCTAACTTGTGTTAAAAAAAAATTAAAACTTATTTATTTATTATTTTTAAAAATATTTTTCAATTTTTTAGCTTTTATAAATAAAAAATTTGCTTAATAAATATTTTATTAAAATAAATTTTAGTTTTTTTAGTTTTTAAAAATTAAAATATTAAAATTGATAAAAGATCGTTTTTTATTTTAATTATCTGTTTTATTAATATGTATTAACATTTTTATTCATAAACATAAACATTACTCATTTTTTTATTATAAAATAATCAATATCATTTTGTAATCTTTATTATTATTTTTTATTACATATGACATTTTAAAAAAATAAAATTATCAAATCATTTTTTCTTACTTATTTTAAAAAATTATTTTTTTTAAATTGATCTTTAAAATTATTTTAAAAATTTAAAAACAAAACTAAATAAAGAGACTTTTTCTTTGGCATGGTTATTCTCATGGGAATACAAGTATGAAAGGACAATTGAAGATCCAACTTATTATTATAATTATTATTATTATTATTATAAATAATTTTTTGTGAAATGATGAAACTCAAATTGATGCTATGCTTCAAAGGGAAGTCTGTAAAAAAATCAAGAAATGGTTTGGGGAAAATGCGAAGTTTCTGAAAACAACTTATTTAGAGACATCTTTGTTTCACAACCCAAAAAAAAATCAGAATTGCATTTCCAGCCTCAAAAACTAAAGAAAAATTTACAGAAGGAGTTGACAAGTTCTTTAAATAAGAGTTAAGAAGTTCATTATCATCAGAAACATCTTATGCCTTGTAACAAATGATGAATTTTATGGTATTAATTTTGTAATATGTAACCTAAATTGTACTAATAGCATGACCTGAAATGTAGAAAAAGCAACTTTCAAGTTTGTAAAGGAAGGTCTCGACCTGCGTTACCATTTACAGAAAAGAAGTCAGAGAAAGATAAATGAAAGAGTGCTCTAGAATTCATTATAAGACTCTTTCTTTGAATAATCTCTCTTTTTCTGCATTTTCCTTCTCCGTCTTATCTAGTCCTGCTATTACCTACTTCTCAATCGTCTTCATCTCCACTAGGTCTTTTAGGGGTCTTTAGTTATAATTTATAATTGAATATATAATTATTTTATATCATATTATATACAATATTATATTATTTAATAATGTTTTGTACTGAGCGGCTAGGCGTATAAATAAGCTCACTGTAATGAGTGGAATAGAAATGTCTCCTTCCATTCAAACCGCAGAAGCAAAAATGTGAAGTGGTGCTTAACAACAGCAAATTTGTAACTGGTAAAAGCAAGTCCTAAAAAAAAAAAAACAGTAACTTACACGGAAAGGAGGCCAAAAACTACGAAGAGAGGCTACAGTTATCCATCCTTAACAAAGTTATCTATGAAGAAATCAAGCTCAACCAAATGATATTAAATGAAACTCATTTTGAGATATTACAGAATAAAATCAATTGAGGCGTATTTCTAAGATGTACATAAATAAATACAACCACTTACTGTAAATTAGGGGATTTTGACCTTCAAGTATAATAAGTACGAAACAGAAAGAAAAACAATAAACAGAGTGAGTAGCCATGCTTTTGTGTATTACATTGCGTGAAATAATAGACCAAAAGCTTTCTAGGAGAACCATCTGCTATTATTCTCATTAAGTAAAAGGATAGAAATTTGAAAACAACAAACTACCAAGAAAAATATATGCTATAGAGTATGCCCATATCACGTATCCCCATCTATAGTATTTTGCAGGATATGCCATTATATATGAAGCAAACCAATAAAGAGGAGGGCTGGCAGATAAGAAACGAGTAGCCACCTGTTAAATGTCAATTACCAAGAGTTTACATTAATAAACACTTAAATCCATTCTCATGCAACAAACACATATGATAGAAATGGATTAAAGGTGTGACAAATAACAGAAAATGGAGGATGGAAAATAAAGGATGCATCTAATACTTTTCTTGTGACCAAATAAAATTTGGACAAACTTCTCCATATGGATTTTTAAAAGGAAAAAAAAAAAAGAAAAACCAAACTGAGTTTCTACAAAAGTTAAAATTAACCTTTACAAAATATTTGTAGAAGTTCTCCCATATAACTTTTTTAAATTCCTATTTCTTGACTTATGCCTAAAAATTTTAACTTATGAATAAGATCATTTCATTTTTCTTATATTTCTCTTTTAGAAATCCTTTAAAGGAAAGTATATCCAAACATGTCCATGTAATTTTCATTGCCCCATTTTTCACCAAGTCCACCCTCGCTGACCAAGTTTAGACATTTAAGAGGATCAGGTCTTAAAATATGATGATTAGCAAAAGTTTAAACTGGTTAGTTTTCTCTTAACATGATAGACAAAAACAGAGAAAAAAGCCAAGGTAGTTGACACTAACCTGTACATGCATGACAAAGAAAACAGTACATGCCATGAATGCCAAGTGTAACACGAATGGGAGAACAGATGCAGACAAGTATCCTGGCCATGCTTCTGTTGACTCAGATTCTATGGGAACAGTAGCAACGTCTCCCTTGATCACATTCTTTCTCCTCCTAAGATTTAAGTGTTCTGTTGCAGGAGTGAGCAGTGATAAGGTAGCAACAGTAAGATATAAACTCTGATTAAATACTCAAAGTCACAAGATTATGTATGCATGATTATATGCTGAGTAGAACAATGGATGAAACAATTAAGTAGTTTGCAGCTTGTACATATACAGCGGACAGGAATAACCAGAATACGAGAAAAACAACAATGCGGCCAAACAGCATGTGAGAGAATGTAAAAAATATACCACCACATAAAAACCGCCAAAGCAGATGATTAAATTGTTATACCCAAGTTAGTGAATTACTTATTACCCTTTCTCACAAAGTAATGTACTTATATAAGTGTGCCAAATAATTGCAAAACACAGTTATAAAATTGAGAATCATACCTTCTACCCTAACAGAGGAGGATTTCCCCACACTTTCAGCTTCTTTGGACCTTGAGAGATCACCTGACAAAAACACAACTCCACAGCTCTTTTCCTCCATTGGAGCTAAAAAACCCAATGAGAAAAAAGTCTGAGGCCTTGACTTGGCATAATGAACAATTGAGCACAGTGCCAGAGACAGTATTGGGGATGCCAGAAGAAAGTTAGGCAACTGTTTCAGCTGAAAATATCGCAAGAAACCAACACCCCTGGACAATCAGAAGTTAACAATCTTCACTAGAAAATCTGACTATTTAAACATCCAAGTTCCAACATTATAGATTACAAAGAAAATACATCATAATAGGTTGCATAAAGAAATATAATAGAGTATAATAATTCAGCCAATAGTGAACATACCAATAATGACTTTGAATGTAACTGTAAAGTAACGGTATCCTTGCCTTGCACCAGGGCCTTATTTCATCGTGGGAACGTCCAACACACATGTTATAATAACCATAAGCCTGGAAAGCTACAAATGGAGCAAAAATACATGCCGTACGTAAAGCTCCAACAACAATAATCTGCAAAGCCAACTGGCAAAATGAATGAATGAATCAAGTATTCCAGTTTATAATTGACGCTAACAATGATTGAAACATCTTCTTTTCAGTTGAAATGGAAATCAATCCTAGAACACCCTAACTACTAACTACTTATGCTACATCTATACCTCATTTTATTAATGTTTCTATAACACTGATAAAATGGCAGTAAGGGGGAAAATTTAGGAATTCAAAGCAAAAGTACAGAAACAAAGGATCCTTTCTCCATATAAGTATGACACAATAGAAAAATGACGTACAACTTAGGACAATTTGAGAGCGCCCAGAAACGAAATCTCCTGTGTATTCTAATAGTGACAGAGTTATAACTACTCTAAGTACACTTTATTCGTATCCCAGTAAGTTATAACTACTATAACACTTTGTTAGTTACAACTGTATTTGTATCCCCTTGTCTTTATTTCTATTATTCTGTCTTTGCACTTACGTTTTCCTAATGAGAGGTCTTGTATCAAGCACATAGTTAAGAAAACAATTAAGCAAGGGAAGAAAAATATTAGCTCTGGATACATTCTTTCTACTCTATGACCTATCACATGAAATATCCAAAACTGCAAAAATCCCTCAATTTTTTTTTTGTAGCGTACAATATCACACCCCTAGCACTTTTGCATCCCCTAACTTCCGCAACTAATATTATAAACAACTATAATCCTTTTTGGTAAAATGAGCCATCAAACTTTCCAACTACTGAAAAAGCAAATATATTTCTTCAAGCTAGCAGCCAAGTTCATTGAATTCACCTCTTGACATTACTAAAAACAAAATCATCATAAATTTCTTTCTACCATCTGCAAATACGAATAACCGTTGTCAATCACATTCCTTTCTTGAAATCATCAATAAAGAGGGAAAAATCCATTTTCAGTTCATGAAGAGACAATGCTTCTATATTTCTTATTATACATGTTTTATATACTAACGGTGTAGTTATCATACACCGATAAGTGAAGTTAAAGCATAAATGTTTATGAAAAACGTTGTTCAAAAGGGTAGGAAGCAAAAGAGTTATAGGGGAATGTGGGAGGGGAGGAACTAACAGGAAGACGCTTCTGGTGAAAAAGAGCGTGATAAGAGCGATGCATGGTCTGAAAACAGAGATAGCCAGCATTAAGCACCCCATTAGACCTTGCTAAGCCGGAAAGCGCGAAGAAAAAAACGGCCAAATGGTTTCCGCCGCACACGAAGTGGTACATCCCTCCAAAACACATAAGAGCGTACAAACTCTCCGAGTATCTGCCATGCCATCAAAAATCAAACACAGAGGCAAGAAATTCATACACAGGAGGGAGAAAAGGAAGATTACATGGATGAATAAAAGACAGAGGCGGGGTTGAAGCAGAACAAAAGAGTAGCCCTTAACGCTGTTTCGGGGTCCTTCAAAAGGGTTAGGGAGAGTCTGTAGAAGTAGAGAGCAGCGAGAACGAAGGCGAGGTTGTTGATGAGGTAAGCGGAAAGAGCGAAGAGGGGTGTTTGGACGGGGAGGAAGGAGACGAGGGAAAGAGAGAGGGGGAGGAGGGGGAGGAAAGCGAAGGATTGTTCGTACTCGTAACCGCATTGAGCGATGCGGAGGAAGTAGACAGAGTCCCAAACGACGGCGTTTTGGAGGTGGGAGGGGAGGGTGGCGTTGGGGGTGGAGAGGCAGGGAGGGTTTAAGGGTGCGGATGTGTCGTAGGGGGAGACAAGAGTGCGGAAGAGGATGATTAGGGTGAGGAGGAGGAGTCTCGAACATGTTGCCAATTTCAGTACCAAGTGCTGGTGGTCACGGTGGTGGTTTTTAGATGTTTCCACCATTTTGGAAACAAATCGGAATCACCCACTCATGCCACCATCCCAAGCTTCTTTATTTTCTTTTATCTCTCTGTCCTCGTTCATTTGTACAAATCAATAAATTTAAAATAAGAAAAAATTAGACGCCATTGAAACACAAAACATCGTATACTTTCACACCCACTAAAACATATTAATTTGTTTTATTAAATATTAAATCACGTAATTAGGTATCGTTTCTTACTCTTTATTTTATATATATATATATATATATATATATATTGGAAATATAAAGATATATTAAAAAAATAACACTTATATATCTATATTAAAAAAATAAAAAATAATTACGATATTAAAATAAGATTGTAATAAAAAAATAATTAAAATTTATAATTCTGAAAATTAATTAAAAAAATATCAAAAGATTAAAAATAAAATTATAATAAAAATTAAAAAATAAAAATAATTTTAAAAAATTTGAAAAACAATTATAAAAATAAAAATAGAATAAGAATTAATTATATACATAAAAATCGTTATAACAGTTTAATCTCTTTTATTAATATATATATATATATATAAAATAAAATGCAATATTATTTTAAAAAATAAATTTTATTTTATTTTATTCTTTTAATATTATTAGCATTAAAAAAATTAAAATCGTTTTTAAATTAAAGTTTAAAATAATGAATTGATGTTTTATTTTAATTTTAATTTTAATTTTTTTAAATAATAATAATAATAATTTAAAAAGTATCTTTTAAAACACTATTTTTTACTATTTAAAAATAAAATTATGAATACAACTATATTTTCAAACGTGTTTTTCATTACCTCGTATCTATGGTTAATTTTAGATATGTTAATTTCAGAAATTTAAAAAAAAAATCAGACATACAACCGCCTATACATAAAGAAATATATATATATATATATATATAATCTTAAATTAAATAAAATTTAATTTAATTTAATTCAAAAATAATAATTTCATTGTTTTTATATATTTATTTTTGTCATGATAAAACCTCACAAGTTCTATGTTATTTAAGAATTAAAATTAATTTATAAAAATCATCGTTGCTACCATTCTAAACTGTATACATATATAATTAGTATCTATATGATTTATTATTATAATATATTCATTTTATCTCTGATAATAAATTTTTTATTTCTACCTTAAATATATATTTTTTTTTTACTTTTTTTCTGACCTTTTACCTTTTCTTCCCCTCGTTTTTTAATTTTTTTTCTCTTCCTTCCTCTTTGTTGCTCTCCGAGTTGATTTCTAGAGAGATTCACCTTCTTTCTTTCTTTTTTTTCCTTTTCTTCTTTCTCTCCTAAACCATCACTGTTCCAATTTGATTTGTATTCCTAACCCCTAATTTCTGGTATCAGAATCTACCGTAACAATGGACAGAAAGGTGTGTTGGGAACTCAGAAAAGAAGTTTCCAGCTATATGGACGCGCGAATGTACAATTTTGAGGTGCTCTGCCCACGGCGACCTAGTTTTTTTACCACACATTTTATAATATTACTTTTGCGATGAGTGAAAATATTATATTATCATTGTCAATCAGTTTAAAAACCAACTCATATATAACAAACTTTAAGATAATAAATACTATACAGCCATGTATATTAACATGAAGTGAAGATCTAGTTAGTGAATGGATTCTTTCCCATGAGAAAGGTGCAAAGAAAATCCATCTCCTACCTTCCCGTGATAACGACGGTGAAGGATTATTGAAGATGCATGGATCCTTCATAAATGGCTATAATTACGTTTTAAACTGGGGGTCTTTTACAAAAAATTATTGCTCAAGTTATCTAAACTTAAACAAGTGTGTAAACTCATAAAATTATAAAAGTAATTTACAACCCTTTTATAAACTTTTTTAATTATTTCAATTAGTTTCTGGATAAAAAATTCATAAAAATAACTTCGACATGAGTTGCATTTACTCTACTCAAGACTTTCACACTTAAAAGGAAACGCCATTCGTTTTTGAACATCTAAACTTTTTCTAAAACATATATTGATATATTTTCAACATCTGATCAAAAAACCAACTTTCGTACTAGCCATATCTTCAACATATCTACAAAATAAGGTCAACCTCAAGTCTCAGAACATCCTATAGATGTTTCAGAACTTACTGTGCCATCATCATAGAGAATTCCATGAGTGAACGATAATGCTTCTAAAGCCATCGTTTTTTTAGTGAATAATGGAAATTGAAAAAAAAAAAAAAAAAAAACTAATAACCCCCAAAAGGATTCCCATCACTCTCTCAGCTAACAAAATCAACTCTTCAATGTTGACGAACATAGATCATCTTCTCTATGATTTGCAAACTCAAAAAAGATCAGCAACTTCATTTACTCCTTGGCAAACATGAGTCCCACAGAAGGGAGGATAGGCTCAAATCATCTTTTGCTCGCAAGTATAGCCAGAGGTCTGTGAACCATCCGACCCATCTTTAACTTCAGTAGTAACGGAGAATCTGCAATCTTCAGCCTTAATAGCCCTGCCAGCATGTCTAACCTTGTCAAGATGACATTCTCGACAAATAGATGGCAGTGAATCGGAATCAGAGCATACTGACTTTTGACTCTCGGTCATAGATAAGCTTTCCTTGAAAAAGGAAGGTACAATTGAAGCATTTTCATTGTTGGAGTTCTTTAAACAGTCAAATTCAGCTTTAACTCCAGCAACGAAGCAGCCTCCGTCTTTTGACATGTGTTCTTTAGAATTACTTCCACTGCCAGTGCATATGATCTTACCTGTATCGTGCTCTTGACATGCTGAACGCAAAGAGTCTGTACCAACAGATACCGGTTTTAAACTATCCATCCCATGTAAACATTCCTTCGTAGGAGGAGAAGTTTCAATTACAGCCTTTTCGGATCCATCTTTAAAATCAATAGTACTGGAGGAGCCGGACTCTTGTCGCATTTCTTTGTCAGTATTAGTACTACCTACGCCTGCACCAATGATCTTATCATGCTCGTGATGCTCTTGACAAAGTGAACGCGATGAACCTGAGTTCAGAGATACTGATTTTATGCTATCCTTCGTACGTAAACCTTTCTTGATATGACAACATTTGTCTTTGCAAGAAGCTGAAGGAAAAATAATCTGGTTTACGTTATCCAGACAATTTGATGGATCATTAAATACAGTAAGAGCACCCTCGGTTACTTTTTCTCCTCCATCTCCGCAGACACATCCCCTGGCATGACTAGTTTTCTTATCTTCATAATGTGTTCTACCAAAAATGTTTTGTACATCAGTATCTGCTTTAGTACTATCCAGACATTTTGATTTATCATTAAATGCAGCAAGAGGTATATCGGATGCTCTTTCTCCTCCTTCACTGTAGGAGTATCCCCAGGCATGACTACTGATATTCTTGTTTTCAGACTGTGCTTCCCTAATAACGTTTCTTACTTCAGCATGTGCCTTAATGTTAACCTCAATTTGAACCAAAGCACTGCAGCTGTCCTTAACATCTTCAACATTATAACGTCCAATTTGTAAGTTTTGAGAAGCACCAACGTCAATGCCCTTATCATCAGAAGTTAAACTCTTGCTGAAATTTGGGCGGATCAACTTTCTTCTCTTTTGCTGCCCAAGAACCGAATTCTCATGTTCAGCACTACGGCTGACTTTACTACGACGCTTGAAATCCACAAAACATGTGTCTTCAGCTGTTTTGTTAGTATTGTTTCCAGTTTCAGTAGTCAAATCCATTATTTCATCATTCAAGGTATTTTCAAAGAAATCACTCTCCTTCATACTCAAACTACTTACTTGAATTTTATCCTTCATAATCTCAAGTTTCTTGCGTTTGGGCTTGGTCTTTCTTTTTGTCATCCACTTGTTGTGACTCTGCCGAACCCTTTCCATCACTTCATCAACTGAAGTATGGAAATCATTGTATCCATCTTCTTGTTTTCTGATATCCTGCATAAAAGATAATCGAGAAAAAACACTACTTTTTTGCTTTGGATAACCAGAGATATTATTTTGAGCACCACCATAACATTCAATATCATATTCATGGACTAGTGAATCACCATCTTTGAAATGACCCTCATTTGCCCATGAAATATTAGGAGTAAATGTTTTGTTGCTTTTCTGTAGTGTTATCTCATGATTTGGGTTTTCTTGCAATGTTGTGGAATGAAAATTGTTGCCTAACCATGGTTGATGATTATGGAACAAGGAAGAAAAGGGTTCATTTACACTGCGGCTTATCTTTCTAATATCTGGAGGGATAGGGGATGATAAGGACTTCAAGGAAGGAATGTCATCGCAAGCCTCATAAACAACCGATTCTGCTGCCAACTGGTCAGAATTTTGAACCGTGTTGAGAGGCATGCAATCCCTGTTGCTACTATACAAAGCAGAATTTTGAAAGTCAACAGTGTGCCACCAGCTCATGTCTTTCGGTTCATTATGGGTGAGATAATGTTGACTGCTCAAGGAATTCCTTACAAAGTTGCTTAAAGGAGTAGTCATTTCCATTATTGGCTTAAAACCCTCATTAACTCCAAAAGATGATGCCTGGCTAAAATTTAAACTAGGAACATCTGGATCATACAGAAGGGATGAACACTTAGAATTCGCACTTCCTTGTGTTGCACATGTATTTTCTAAGAGCTGTGCCTGCATTGGGTGAATCATAGTTGAAGTTGCCCCAAGCTGATTTTGTACCAAAGAATTATGCTCCAAAATAGGCTCGCTGTAAAAACCAGATGCAGTGATATGGGAATTATGTAGGCAAGGAACATCATTTGGAAAAACCATCCTCTGATCAGCTTGAGGAAGAGATTTACTCATGAGCCTATCACTAGTTGGTATGCTTCCCTCACCATGAATTCTAATTTTATCAGATAGACCTTTCGAGTATCCACCAATGATGTTTGGTCTGAGACAGATATCCGTATAATCCTCACTCTCATATGCAATAAACCTACTTTCATCTTTTAATCCGGAATAGTCACAAACAAACTCACTTTTATTATCCACCTCAGCAAACTGAGCAGCGCTTCTTTGTTTTATATCATTTGCATTTAATCCAGTGTATTCAACTTCACCCCTGTCATGCAAAGAATCGCCTTGGTGTTTATGCCTCATGACGGGTGATATGTTGCTACCCAAACCTTGCCCACTTTGAATTCTTTCAATTTGCATTCCATGATCAACAGATCTTCCAACATTGCCTGAAGGGTACCGTTCTGATTTTGAGAATTCAGTTCGGGACAACGGTCTCCCAGGAGCCTCTGGTTCTAGCTTTCTCTTGCTGAACAAATATATAATTTTATAGACCTACACAGAAGATTGATTAAAAATCTTTAAGCCAACTATCCTCGTTATTTTAAAAAATTAATCATGTTCAACCAAGAGCATACCTGATTTTCAGATAGCCCAAAGTTAAATTTGTTAGCTGAAAAGTAATTTTCTCTGATTGCATCACGAAATAACTTTTCTGGCAGTGGCTTACAGAACCAAATTGGCTCAAACTTAACCTACATCAGACCATTGAGAAAGCGTGGCCATCATATTAATCATTACTCAAAGTAAGAAAAACGAACTCTTGCACTCAGAATCAAAACAAAGCATTGTTCATTCCTGGTGAAATTTATAAAAATGAGGTTATTGAATTGTTACCTGAGCAGGAAATTGCTTCCCCACTTTCGCAAAAGCATTAGGCACAATATTGATACCTCCATCACAGGAAGCCTTGAACACACCATGAAGTTGTCTCTTATCATATTCATACAAGAATAAAACCATTCCAGCTTTAACCTGCTCTACAAACTGGATTTCAGTTGATGGGAGGCCAAATAGTCCCTTCTTGAAGCATTCTCTTCTAGTCTCACTATTTGAGATAAAGATTGCTCCAAAATCCGGGTCTTTCCCATCAGCATTGTTATCCTTATCGTTCATTCCCATGGGGGTATATATTTAATATACTAAGCTGTCACATTAGAAAATAAACAGCAGTGTCGGCATTGTGTAAATATAGTCACACGTAACAAAAACGTTTCAAAGTTCATACATCCATCAGTATTTAGGAGAAGTTCAAACGACTACCATAACTGTCAAATTCTTTAGTTAAAATTACGATCAACAAATACAATAAACTCGTCCTAAAGAACCAACCAGCAATCTACAATAATGCTTAAAAGAAAAACAAGGAACATGCGCATTCGCTTTTATCACAACAAAAATATAGTATCCAATTTGATCAATCCAGTTCTAACCAGCCAGACCTAATTTTACTTTTTCTATTTTCTCGTTTCTAAACAAAAATAAATAAAACAAAAAAAATAAAATATCATTATACAAACAACAACAACAACAACAACTCTACAGTCTGATCGGAACACAAAGAAGGAAGAATATCCACAAGCGCACAAAAACAATGATAGGATAAAAAGATAACAAAAGAAAAAAAAAAAAAAGGCAAAAGGCTTCGATGGAACGTCGCAATGACAAAAAAGATAACAAATGATTGAAATGTTACGAAAAAAAGAGTGAAAGAAATGTTGTAATGAAGAAATGTGACGATGACGAGTGAGAAGCGAAGAGAAAGAACGTACCATGTAGAAGAAGAAGAAGAAGAAGAAGAAGAAGAAGAAGAAGAAAAGGGTTTGAGAGTGAAAGACAAGAGAAGCGAGAGAGACGCGATTGTGTGTAGAGTAATGGACTAACTGTTCTAATAAGAGGGAATCGCATCAATCTCAGTGGGTCCTTCGGGTAAAATAAAATCATTTAAAAAAAATGTCCAGGGTAATTTTCAATGATTTTCAGTTATGAGTGACACCTGAAAACACGTGGCGCGTTCGTGTTACATGGGGCTTTGGTTTGGGCCTTGAAATACGCCACGAGACAAAACTTCATACCCAATAAATATTTCAGGTATTATTATTACATTATCTTTTTTTCTTTAGTATAGATAATAAAATTGTTAATCCATAAATAAAAAATAAAAAAACCCATTGTCTCTCATATAAAACAAGAAAATAAAATAAAAAAATTAAAACTAATTATATATTAGTGGTGATTATTGAAATCAACACACATATATATTTATGTTATACAAGTAGTATAAAATTATAAATCTTAAAATATTTATTAGTTTTAATTAATTAATTATATATAAATATATATTTTAGTTTTGAAATGTTTTATATTTTATTCTATCCTTAAAAGTGATATTATCTATAAGTGGAAACTGACACTAAAGATGAAATATCGTAATGGACATGAAATCAGACATATTCGTTCTTATACGAAATATTGGTGTCTGTCATAGGATTGAAAGTTGTGTTTCGCTTAACTCATACTTCTTAATCCTCAAATGGGAACTTATGTTCGGTATGCTCATGGGTTTCACATCGCATATGAGTCAAGGTCAAAGATAGTTTATATACACTCTCCTCTCTCAACTCATCGAGACGTCTTCTAAAGACAAAATAATGAGAAACGAGTGTAAAAGATTATGTAGTTTTCTTACGTTCTTAATTCATTATGGAAAACTACTCTACAAGATCTTTAGATTATTGATTTTCACAATATAACATACATTAGTACATGAATCATAGTAAGAAGACTAACATTGATCCATGAGAATCTATTTTTTAATCTTTTCGTTCTTTCTTGATGGTTTATCGTGAAAAAACCTTATGACCAGAGACAGAACCCTTATTCTATTTTTTTTTTAACCAACGTCCATCAAGGTGGTTACCGTAAATTAATATTTTATTTTATTCTAACTTCACATAATAACCAATAGGTCATCATATTTTATTAAATTACATTTGGACCCATTATTATATTTCACATGAGTCATATAATGGAATGAATTAATTCTAACATTCTCCCACTTGACTCATGTGATGGGTTCTGTGATTTAATACTTAAGTCATAATGCGTGTTAAAGGACCTTATATAAATTGGTTCTATCATTATTCATAATTATATAACAAGAGTCATGGCGGTTACATGTCATTCAATCGACAGACTCCCTTCCATGTACCACTATATTATCTCTTTCTCCTTAATATAACTTTATAATGAGAAGTCCATAATGGATTCAAACATAATATCATTTTAATAATAATAACATAATTTATTTTCTTCATCATAATTTGCATGCATATAAATAAAGAAGAAAACACAAATTTCGAAACTTATACATTAAAGATCTCGAGTGTCACATAAACATTAATAATAACATTAACATTCAACATTCACTACTAGTAAACATAATGTTCATATTTACTATATGGCCAGCAAACAACTTGGGCAGTAATCCCTTTGTTAAAGGATCAGCAATCATAAGATCAGTATTAATATGTTCTATTGACACTCTCTGTTTCTGAACTTCTTCTTTAAGGACAAAGTATTTCAATTCTATATGCTTAGCACCTTTGGAATACTTGTCGTTCTTTGAAAAGAAGACTGTTGTGGAATTGTCACAATAAATTTTCAGCGACATGACAATGTTGTCGACTACTCCAAGTCCTAAAATAAAATTTCGGAACCAATTAACTTGAACTGTGACCTTAAAGCATGCCACAAATTCAGCTTCCATGGTGGATGCAGCAATGACAGACTGCTTCGCACTTTTCCATGAAATCGCTCCTTTGGCTAAAAGATATACATAAATAAATGTAGACTTTCGTGTATCCATACAACCAGCAAAATCTGAATCTGTATATCCAATCACCTCAAGGTGATCAACTTTCTCATAAGTAAGCATGTGATTATTTGTTCCTTGTAAGTATCTTAAAACTTTCTTTGTAGCTTTCCAATGATCCAGTTCAGGATTACTCTGGTATCTACCCAGCATACCAACTGTAAAGCTAATATCTGGCCTCGTACATGTTTGAGCATACATCAAACTCCCAACAACAAATGCATAAGGGATATTTTCCATCTGTTTCCATTCCAAATCATTCTTTGGACATTGCATGAGACTAAATTTGTCTCCTTTCTGTATTGAAATGGGAGATGTTGAACACTTCTCCATTCTGAATCTCTCTAAAATTTTATTAATATATGTTTTCTGAGACAAACCTAATAGTCCTTGTGATCTATCACAGAATATTTCTATTCCTATCACATAGTATGCCTCACCCATATCTTTCATTTCAAAGTTGTTAGAGAGAAACTTCTTAGTCTCACTTAATAGTCCAAGATCATTAGTCGCAAGCAAGATATCATTAACATACAGAATCAGAAATATAAACTTGCTCCCACTGACTTCAGATATATACACCGATCAACAGTGTTTTCCTTAAATCCAAAGGACATAATAGTATCATTGAACTTAAGATACCATTGTCGAGAAACTTGTTTAAGTTCATATATTGATTTCTTAAGTTTACACACCATATGTTCCTTTCCTTCTTCAATAAACCCCACTGGTTGATTCATATAAACATCCTCCTCTAAATCTCCATTCAGAAAAACAGTTTTAACATTCATTTGATGCAACTCAAGATCATAATGAGCTACTAATGTCATGATAATTCTAAAGGAATCTTTCTTAAAAACAGGTGAAAATGTTTCCTTATAATCAATACCATCTTTCTGAGTAAAACTTTGGCAACAAGACGGACCTTGTAACGTTCGATATTGCCATGAGAGTCATGCTTAGTCTTAAAGACCCATTTACACCCAACACTCTTGCATCCTTCTGGAAATTCCACAAGATCTCATACACCATTATGTGTCATTGATTTAAGCTCATCTTTCATAGCATCTAACCATTTGTCAGAATTATCACCATTAATGGCGTCTGAAAATGAAACTGGGTAATTATCAATACTTAGGTCATTTTCTGACTCTTGTAGATAAATCACGTAATTATTTGAAATAGTAGACTTTTTTTCTCTGTGAGACCTTCTTAATACTATTTCTTGTGGTTGTTTTATTATCGGTTCATTTTTAATCTCGGGATCATTAATTTGTTGTTCTTCTTTATTGTCGTGTGGTTTTACAACATGTAGAACAACAACTATTGAAGAAGATGTACTAGTTACAGGAACTTGTACTCTAACTTCCTTAATCTCCACATTTCATGAAGCTTCACTCCCACTGGTTTCACCATTTTCAATAAATCAAGCATTTTTAGTTTCAACAATTCTTGTACTATGGGTAGGACAGTAAAACATATACCCTTTTGATTTTTCTGGATAACCAATGAAATATCCACTGATTGTTCTTGCATCCAGTTTCTTTTCTTGCGGATTATAAATTCTTACTTCTGTCTGACTACCTCAAACAAGCAGGTGTCTCAAACTAGGTTTCCTACTTTTCCATAACTCAAAATGAGTCTTTTGAACAACTTTACTAGGAACCCTGTTCAACAAATACATGATAGTCTTTAAAGCATACATCCACAATGATACAGGTAAACATGAATTACTTAACATACTCTTAACCATATCAAATCATAGAAGTACACTTAAACAAACTGAAACAACCATTCCCAAACTTAAAAGAGTATCCAGCAACGTCAAGCTTAGACAAAGAAACTAAATTTCTAATGATACTAGGTACATAAAAAGTATCCATAAGGTTTAAGTGATATCCGGTGTCAAGGATTAAACGATAAGTCCCGACAGCTTCCACTGGAACCTTGACTTTATTCCCCATAAAGACGAACTTCTCATTTGGGTTTATGGTTTGGGTTGAAAGGAATTATAGCATTACATTAGAAACATGAGTCGTACATCCATAATTAATCCACCAAGTATTATGGGAAACTTCAGTTAAGTTTGATTCAAACCATACGTAAGCACTATGCTCACCTTTCTTTTCAAACCAAGCTTTACGCTTAAAACAGTCCTTTTGAAAATATCCAGACTTACCACAGAAATGACATTTGTCATTTTTCTTCTGAATGTTAGTAGAGGACTCATTAATCTTTAATG